TTCATGTCATTCTGGCAACTCCTGCAACGTCGCTGGAACCAGTTGTATTGGCTCTTGCCTTTCCACTGCACTATTTTAGCAACGTGGAGAGGGGGGATTTGCTGTTTGGGTAACAGCCTATCCTACATATTATTTTACCCAGGCTTCATGCTCTGGAGAGGACACTCTCCAAGTCCTCCATACAGAGCACGTTACCATAGTCTCTCGAGACTGAAGGATGGCATTCCAGGATGGAGAGGCAATTAGTAACACAAAATGTAACTTTCAGAGGTTTGCACCCAGTCCACCCATCCTTCCCCCCTTTTCATTTTTGGGTTCCTGCCTTCTCCCTTTGCACCCAGACAGAAAATGTTTGTAACCATGGAGTAGGCTCAATCTTCAGATGTTTTTATTGAGTCCCTTCCCTCTTAGGATTTTGCCCCCACTAAGGACTTTTTTTTTGTATTTGTTAAAATTTTGGAAATTCTCTTTCCAGACACACCCAGCAAATGCTGCTTTATCTATGCTTTTTATGCAGGGCTCTTGTTTTGGATCCGCTAGCAATGGTACTGTCAGGATGAACACTGTAAACGGAATGGAATGTTACTGTTGCAATATTAATAATCATCAGTATTATTATTATTGTTTTGCATTGTTTTAAGCTTGTGTCCTGCTAAATCAGAGCACCACTTGAGTAATATATTGATGTGACGCAATCCAGCTTTCACAATGGCTCCTACACTTAACATAGATTTTTTCCCCATCCCATTGCTGCAAGGACATGAGGAACCCCATGGATGGAATTCTCTTGCATGAAATCTTTCTAAATCCTTAAAAATATAGGAGCCTCCTCCAACCTCCCTCCCTCTAAAGTTATTCCTGCACATAGTGACTTGTGTATCTTCACAAGCTCAGCTCATCTAAGGGGTGACCTTGTCTGGTCCCCCACATTTCAGAGACAACAGAAAAACAGCTTGGGCATCACGTGATGTCCTGGAGCTGTGTCATAATTAACTCATGGATTTTTCCATAAGTGCTGTAAGGTCAGCTGCTTCTGAGATGCGGTACGGCAGGAACTCAATCTATACAAAAGCTTATTGATCAGGTTTCCAGTCATTATATAAAATCCTGCTGAGTGGACGGGCTGCCAGTCACCAGCCAGACATCATATAGCGGATACCACCCTGGCCTTCAGCAGGTGGGGAGGAACAAGGTGGCGTGTCTCTGTTTCCTAGTCTTTTTCTCTTAGTACCAAGTGAGTGAGAGAGAGAGAGAGAGAGAGAGAGAGAGAGAGAGAGGAAATCGGCACTTCTTGCTTTGGACAGGATGAAAATGGCCATCTTGTTTGCTATTTGCAAGATTTGTCATCTGGACACTATCAGATGAAGCCGTGATCTTGGGTCGGCCCCTCACCCTCTGGTTCATCCTTCCTCACAGAGTTCTAACATCAATTATATATAGTTTTTTAAAAAAAATAGAAAATCTCTTATTTTCCCAGTATTCCCTAGTTTCATCTGTACATCCCCTTGAATAGAATGTTCCCTGAGCAGAACGTGGACATTTTTACTTTCTTTGGACTTCACCTCCTGGAATTCACACCTGCCAGAGGGCCACCTGTATTCCAGGCCAGTAATAATGGCAATTCTCCTATTGTCTCTTGTGAGATTTCCATTTGGTCCGCAGTAGCCATGGGCCGCCACCTGTCTTTGCTAAGGGGTGGTGGTTCCTGTAAGGTGTAAAGTCCTTCCATGAGTGTTGCAACCAAGGAGGTAGATCCAAGGAATCCAGCCAGATTCAGGTGGTTTCCAGGGTCAACCTTAATCATGACAGTCTATTGCAGTCCATCTCTTTTGCACAGAACCCCTTGGCTCCTACGGCAGAGAAATGCTTACCTGTTGCATTGGGGGAAGGGAAAGGGTCACAGAGAGCGAAATCTGCTATGGATCCCCTGAAGGTGTTGTTGACCTGGCCGATAATGACAGGAATGTCTTGAGATGTGTATACAATATGGCTTTGTGTAGAGTCCAGTTCATCCCCAAGGAATCTTTGCAAAATACACACACACACACAGAGAGAGAGAGAGAGAGAGAGAAATGTGCTATCAAGTCTTCTGTGACTTGCGTCAACCCAAGCAGGGTTTTCAATATGTGTGAGATATTCACCCTGTGGGTTTTTATTGCCAACTGTGGAATGGAACCCAAATCTCCAGAGTCCAAGTCCATTACACTATCCACCACACCCTGCTGGATCTCATCATCATTCCTAGACTCCTTTTACATCTCTGTGCAGTGTCATCATTTTTTCCCCCCTGGCATGAGGCCAGTTTCTATCCAGGAAGGTATCCTACGTTGCCTGATCCTGCTTGTAAATTCCCCAGTGCTGACATACCTAAGATGAGATTTCAAACCCTATATTACAGATAACCTGTCATTAGAGCTTACGTTGCTGTGGCATTCCAGGGTTGTGATTCAGGCCACCTTTTTCTGAGAAATCAGACTTGCAAACCAACTGGGTGGTGTGCTGGTTCCCGGAAGAACAACTGCAACACAAAACCAGCAAATCTACAACCTTCAAGTGGTGAGAAAAGTGACTGCCATGATAAGCTGGGAAGAAACTGAGAAATGAGGGGAACATGGAACCCAGAATCCATTTAGAAACTTCGAGGCTAGTTTGTGAGTGCTTGGGACAAAGGTATGGAAGGGTCAGAGCAAAGGGAAAGGTGATACTTTCAATAGCTTTCTTGCCTGAGAGGACATCAAAGCAGTAACAATGGAGATTTAACACCTTCGCCTTATCTCTTGTCATCAAAAGCCAGTCCACTTTCTTCCCTGGAGTCAAGCAAATCACAGCTGCAGAACAGGAAAAAGAGTAGAGAGTACTTTTGTTTTTGGTAAGCATGAAAGGAGATTAAGATGTTGATTAAAGCAGGTCTCGAAGAATTCATTTAATGTCTAAAAATGATTCAGGAATCTGATTAGGTAGCTCAGTCTTACTCAAAGGAGAGTGTTGTGTCCAAGACCCTAGCCTGTCTCTAAGGAAAGGCTTTGCTCACATGTTGTCTATGATGCTGGGAGGTATACATTCTGTAC